TTTCATTTCGTTTTTGGTACAGAGTATTTCAATTCATTGTTAAAATTTAAAATTTTGAATTCCAAATCCCGAGGGAGTGTATATGGATTTGTGATTAAATTTTAATTTGCTATTAAAATAATATGTCTTAAGCCTAAACCCAATTTTTTAAAAACTTTCAAACATGACATGAAATTTAAGACAAATCCAAATTTAAATTCGCAAAAATGTACTTACGTATTTATATAAGTTATTTAATACTACCTCTGTTTCTCAAAACAATTCCCCTTTTGACTTTGGGGAAGAATAAGGAAGTGTTAAGTTGTAGTTGACTTTCCAATTTTGCCCTTGATGTGATGGGTAAAAGTAAGATGTGATGGTTTAGTTGTTAGTGAAAAAGTATGATGTGATAGGTAGGGTATGAAAAAGTATGGCTAAAAGTACTTTTTTAATAGAAAAGAGAAGTGTTTTAAGAAAAACAGAAAAAATGAAAGAGGAAGAGTTTTAAGAAACGGAATCAAATGGACACTTGTGAAAGTATAGTGGCGTAGTGATAAAGAAACATTGAAGAAAAATGTCTCCACTTATTTAAGAAAATAAAAGCCACTCAAGAAAAAAGTCGCTACTTATTTATACTTCTTTCGTCTAAAAAGATTATCACAAATCAACTTATTAGGTTAGACTCTTCCTCATTATGATCACAAATTATAGAGAAAAATGTATTTTGTTACATTATAATGTAAATATAATAGAATTAGGTTCACATTAAAATATAGTCATGACATATCAAATTGTTATACCATTTAATTATTTGAAAACTATAAGTTCGCAGTTTACTTATTTTTTCAGCTTATATACACATCTTCTGTTGACTTATAAATTAAAAACAACTTATAATTAATTAATTTGTTTTCGACAAATATAATTTATTAATTAATGGAGAAACAATAACACGGTTATACGGAGAACTCGATCTATAATGCATACATTATTCACTTCCATGATCTTTTTGCCATGTTTGAAAACAAGAGTTTTTTTTTAATGCATAGCACGAATTACTATACCAGAATTATGTCGAGTAAAATATAATTATGCATAATATAGAAATATGCAATGTTAATGAAATAAATTATTTAAAATACTTGGAAATTGAAGGTTTTCTTAAAAATTAATATTAATAATGATTACTCCGTATTTGGTGTTAGAAAGTGATGAATGATTAATAAAAGTTAAATAAAATTAATGGTTAGCACATACTCCGTATTATTATTACCATATGTATTAAGGTATATATTATGGATAATAACTTTTTAACGTATTAGAGATGCACAATTTTTTTATTCAACGTATAAATAAAACTTTGATTGTATTGAATTTTTTTACCCCACAAAAAATTAATTAAAAAATAGAGTGAGATATGAAAATAAAAAAAAATTGAAAAATATAAGCGGTCATAATAAAGAAATATGTAGTATACTCTTACAGGACATGACATTAAAAAACACATAGAAATAATATTTGGTAGAAGACAATTTATGTGGCCACACCTGGCACGCAAAAAATCCTAGATATGATATATATATATATATATATATATATATATATATATATATATATATATATATATATATATATATATATATATATATATTATAAAATATATAAAAGCTAGTGATGCTTCCTTGTCGTCTTTCTGGCCGCCGTTTTCAATCTCCAAGCATCCCTACCATGCTTGTGAATCAAGGATCCATACCAAAACTCATCACTCTCATCATCATCATCATCATCATCGTAGCATCTTCCTCCGACAACATCTTCGGAGCCCCTTTTCCCAACAACCTTTTTATTGTTGTTACACCTTTGTTCTCCTCCGGCCTCGTTCTTCAGGGTTTTACTATGATGGCCGCCGTCGTCTTCTTCGCCGTCACCAATGCGTGAAACCTCAAAGTAGAGATTACCCAAACACTCGGCCATGGTGAGACTGTAAGGATGAACCACTTCATGATCATCTTCACTACTGTAATAACACTTTGACTTCAAATTCTTGTCCTTGTTCAGGACATCTGCAAAGAGGATCGCCATAATATGCATATGTATAAAATTGGAGATTAACTATATATGAATATTATTATTATTAGTATGATTTTGCAAGGAAGAAAGCAATGGAATGGAATGATCTAACACACGCAAGAGTGAGTGGTTATGGGTAATATAATTACTTGGTTATGGGTATATATAGATACACTTGGTTAATTACTTACTATAATATAATTAGTTGCTTCACGATCAAGCTTTCAGTCGGAGTAGGATAAGTTATAATCAATTTATCAATTAATTTTTCTCTTCTAAGTAATATGCGCACATACATACTTGGAGAATAAGTAGTGTAGTGTACTAGGATTAGGAATTTCAACAACAAAAAAAATAAATTAAAACGAGTTTAATTTCTTGAACGTAAAAATTAGAAAACAAATCAAACTGATCTGACATGGATAGTTAATGAGGAAAATGAATTTAGAATATATGGCGCACCTTTAAAATTGTTCCCCCCTATCAATAAATTTTAAGGCCTTGTGTGGAAACAATGTTTTCAATTACTATTAGGGTTTTCGATAAAATGTTAACGGTATAGTTTAATTCTGAAAATGCCAACGCTAAGGATTAACGTCCTAAATATAAGGTATATATATCTCTAAAGTTTTACTCCCCCGTACCCAAATAAATTTGTTCTTTCGTTTTTTCTTTGTCTCCAAATAAACTTCTCTTTTTCCTTAAAAATTCCATTTTACCCTTTACTTTTTCATACCCTACCTATCACATCATATTTTTTTAATTAATAATCTACATATCACATCTTACTTTTACACATCACATCAAAGGTATTTTTGGAAAGTCAACACAAAAATATCCCTTTCTTAAATAAGTAGTGTAGTGTATTAGGCTTAGGAATTTCAACAAAAAAAAACCAAAACGAGTATAATTAATTTAATTTCTTGAACGTAAAAATTAGAAAACAAATCAAACTGACATGGATAATGGGGGAAATGAATTTAGAGTTTGCCGCACCTTTCAAAAAATCCTTCCGCCCAGTCACTAAATTTTAAGGTCTTGTTTGGGAAGAACATTTTCAATTCTTGTTACCATTTTGAATAAAATTTTAACGGTGTAGTTTAATTTTGAAAATGCTAATTTAAAGGATTACGTCCCAAACAAGGTATGACTCTTTAGATATATCTCTAAAGTTTAACTCCCTCCGTCCCAAAAAATTTGTTACGTTTAGAAAAAACTGCGTCCCATAAAGTTCGTTACATTTCTATTAAAAAACCACTTTTACATCTTACTCTTTCATACCCTACCTATCACATCATACCTTTTTTCTAATAATCTACTCATCACATCCTACGTTTACCCATCACATCAAGGGTATTTTTGGAAAGTGAATACCAAAATATCTCTCCCTTAATTTTCCAAAAAGTCAAACCGTTCCATTCTTTTTGGGATGGAGGAAGTACTTTTTTGTGGAATAATAAACGCTAACTCGTATATAGTGAAAACGCTAACGCTAAATGGTAATAGCTAACGCTAACTCTGTGCATGTGTCATAAACAATAATAATACCATTCTGAAAACGATAACTCTATGATCATGAAATGGTTCATCCTTACAACCTCACCAGGGATGAGTGTTTAATTTGGGTACATATCTACTTTGAAGTTTGACGCATTGGGGGTGAATGGGTGATGATAATGATCATCATGGTTGCCATCATAAAACCCTTATCAATGAGGGAGAACAATGGCGTAATACAAATTATATTCTTCGACACACTCTTCTCCCTTTTTATTATGAAAAATTGTGCTGAAGGAATCCCCATATCTACTTGGTCCATTTTTTTTCTCCCTCTGGTGTGGGACTTGAAGAAATCCCCAACAAACCTCCCCTCAACCAAGGACCACACAACTTCCGACCTCCCTTCCAGCGGTAATCCATTTTTCCTTTTTATCTGCTAACCATCTTGCACCGTCGCACACTCTTTGCGGGACACGCCGCCAGACTTCCTGTCGGGAAGACTTTCGTTGCAAGGCTCGAACCGTAGATCTTTCCTTCGCTGGCTTCGCTGGGCTACACGGCCTACACCATTTGATCCGCCAAATCATCATGTACCGCCGTGACCACGGGACACGCCGCCTGACCTCCTCTCGTCGGGAAGACTTTTGACACAAGGCACCACCTGCAGATCCTCTTTTTTGGTCCCCGACCTCTACCTCGGCCACGACCAAAGTCTTCTCGATTTGAGCTCCGGCAACCACTATGATCACATTTGTGCTCATGTACCTTATATTTTCCATCACTTTAGTGAATAATAGTTTACCATGCATAGTCTATGGCATTTGGAATTCGAAGTTTAAAAGATAGTGAACTACTCTCTCTTGTAATCACAATCTGTATATTGTCTTCCATTGCACGACTTTAATTCCTTTGACAATTTTCACAAAATTCTTTGAATTTGATTATTTATTGGGTCGTAAGCCACCTACAATTGACCATTAACCACAAAACAAGCCTCTCTGCTTTTCCGTCTTCCAAGCCGCTAAACAAAAGCTACCCACTGATCCGTTTTTCCCGTGCTATTTGGTACGTCAAAACATCCACATTGACTTTTTTTGCTATCTATATACTACCTCCGTCCCGTTTTAAATCGTCCGTTTTGAGTGTTGGGCATATTTAAGAAAAAATTAAAAATAGAGTTGATTTTTCGAAATTGTCAATACTTTTTAGGAGAGATGATGATGAATGAGAATATAGTGTGGAGAAGATTGACTTATTTTAGAGATAGTTTAAGTATTTTATTTTTAAAAGTTTACGAAAACAACTAACAGACAACTTATTTTGGGACGGAGAAAAAAAAGACAAACAGACAATTTAAAATGAGACGGAGGTAGTAATAATAATGTTTAATAATACAATAAATTGTTATTATATCAATTTTTTTTATATACGCATAATTCAGCCAATTAAATCCAAATTGGAAGTTTTTATGCACATAGTTTTACAATTATAGTATCAAGTATCAAATTCAAATGGTAACAATGCATCAAACATATCATCTAACGTAATCTTGATATGTCATCCACGAGTTGGTCAAGGCTAGCATGGGATGAACCTCCGCCATTGACACTCTCCCGTGCCAGCCATGAAAGCTTCTCCATTGATTTCTCCAGCTCCTCTCTTCTCTTTCCCATCGTCATCAGCTCCCGAACCGCATTCTCGACCGTGACGCGGTCGCATTTGTCTTTAATGTCCAACCCAACCTTCCACACTTCACTCACCAGCCTGCTCGTCACCATCTGGTCGACGCCCAAGGCCCAGCATATCATCGGCTTCCCCGCTATGATACTCTCCAGCATCGAGTTCCACCCGCTGTGGGTCAGAAACCCCCCGATGGCCGGGTGGTGTAACACCTCCTCCTGTGGGGCCCACCTCACTACACACCCGGCCGTTGGGGTTTGTACGAGTTTTGTTGGGTAATTATTATTATTATCATCATCCAGACCTTGGACAATGTTTGGTCTTACGACCCACAAGAACGAAACCCCGCTGGCGGCGAGACCGTGCCGGAATTCCGAGATTTGTGCCGCCGTTAGGGTGGCGAGGCTGCCGAAGCTGACGTAGATGACTGACTTATCCGGTTGCCGGTCGAGCCATTGCATGCAAGTTTTGTCTTCTTCCCAGAAAGAGTGAGAGATGGGTGATTCACTCCCGGCGAGTCTGGTCTTCAGGTGTTGTTGGACTGGGCCGATTGTGTACATTTTTGGACAGTGGGTGCGGATGTTGGAGAGGATTGGGCCGTCTAAGTCTTCAAAGGTGTTGAGTATGAGCCCGTGGGCTTTGGGTACATAGTGCATTTCGGCCTTGACCAGTTCGATGTTCTTTTCGGCCCATGGATCTTGGGCCCGGAAAAAATGGGGCAGGTCACGTGCTCTGAGAAGGCATTCCATGCCCGGTACGCCTGCTATCACTCTGTCCAAATCTTCTCCTATAAATGACAAAGGAAAATAAAAACAAAAAGTTGTCATCATTAATGATCCTAGACACTCATATCAATTATCAAATAATTTTGTGTAAGATCTCAGGTCAAATATAGTCAATGAATTTTTGAGTAATTGAATGGAAAAAATATACAAAATTGATTGTTTTTTTCGTGAAGAGTCAATTAGTTCTTTGCATTTTTCTTGTGTGAATATTGTATGTGTCAAATTTTCTCACAAATTTTATTGTTAAAACATCATGATTCTTTTAATTTTCTTTTAATTTTGATTAATTTGACATTCAAATGCTCCAATGCACATGTGATTTTCCGTTGGAAAACTTGATGGTGCTACCCATATAACCCTACCCAAACCCTTATGTTCCCAACCCGTCCCTTCCTCCACTTGATATTGTCGATTTGGGCAAAACCCATATCGGTGATCTAGAGTGAGGCTGAGTTGGAGTGTTGAGACATACTCCGTAATTAGTAAGACGAGATGTTCTTCTGTGACTTTAAAGTCTACATGTGAAATCTGAATCGTTTCACACATTTTAATGAACTGACAAGTAATTTTTTTTTGTAAATGTTCAATCTTTTATGATATTAATTGATTAAGGGCTACACTATTCCATTGACAAGTGAATCTTTTCTTTTTATTTATAAAATATTCAATCTTTTATGATATCAATTGATTAATGTTTAATCTTTTATGATATTTATGGATTAAGCCTTCTTCCTCCTTCCGAGATCATCGATTTAGGTGGGGGCCGGTGGAATGAGGTGTTGAGACATAATTAGTGAGACGAATTGTTCTTCTCTACCATAGGTGAAAATGTAGAGCTTTTCTCATATTTTAATAGGCCCATAAGTGAATCTTTTCTTTTCATAAGATGTTAATGAACTAAAATTTATAAAATCTTAGAATCACGTCAGAATTTGAATTTCCGTACCTAGAGAAGGCCAACAAAATAAAAAAAGAACAAAAATAACATTAAAAGAATAGTGTAAAATGTTTTTTTGAATACCTCGGATAGGAAGTTGGCCAGCCTGAAAGAGCTTAGGAATGGAGAGATAAACGTAGAGGCAGCAGGGGCTGATGGTCTCAAAAGCATAAACCGGAACCCCAAACTCTCTCCCCGTCTCGAAAACGTACCCAAACATCCCCTCCGCGATCGCGCACGTCACCTCCGACCTCCCCATCATCCCCCTGACCACCGCCTCCGCCTCCGCTTCGAGAGACCCGACCACCTCCCCCAAGTGCTCCGCGGAGCGAGGGTGGTCCCCCGGGAGCCCGTCGGGGATGACCTCGAAGCGGAAGCGGCCGGCGTACCTCTTCCAGAGCAGCGACTCGATGTCGGTGGCGCTGCGGAGGAGGCGGCGGTGGTTGTGGTCGGTGGCGAGGAACGTGACGGCGAGGCCGCGGAGGCAGAGGAGCTCGGCGAGCTTGAGCATGGAGTTGACCGGGCTCTGAATGGGGAGGGGGAAGATTAGTACCCGAGGAGGAGGGGGAGGGGGAGGGGGGTCACTTGTCATTATTATTATTATTATTATTATTATTATTATTATTATTATTATTATTATTATTATTATTATTATTATTATTATTATTATTATGTGGCCGGAGCAAGTGAGGATTGCCGGCCTGCGGATTGGCTTTTTTTTTTGTGATACAAACAAATTACAAACAATACAAACTACAAAGTGTGGGGTGAGTAGATGTTCTCTCATTTTACTTATTTATACTCCTCAACCGACTTCCTCTCTCAATACTTTTTATATAGTTAAATTTAACTCATTTTATTTATTTATTTTAGTATAATTTCAGAAAACAGTTTAGTCTTGTTACTTCTTATTCGTAAAACTTTTTATGTAATTTTTTTATTATATAAATTTATTTTCAAATTTTTACATCTACGATCTAGTAAAATGAATTGAAATTAAAATCAATCTAGTCCCGTAAGTTATGGGACCTCCAGAGGACATAGTTCGGTGAACAAACCCCTCAAATCGAGACAGCCCGTGGAGTAGTTCGCCAAGATTCAGGAAAAGGAAAACAAATACAGATTTCTTGTTTTTCCAACAGCTAGTAGTAAGAGCGGTCTCTTTGTTTATAGCGATTACATATTTTTTGAAAAATGTGGTTTTATTGATTACCGTCTTAATGCGCTAAACCCTCAAACTAGAGGGTTTTCACGAAAAATAAATAAAACCAATTGTTAAAAGAGAAATTTACTTAAATAACACTAAAATATAATGAGTTTTTCTAAATAGCACTACGTGTGTTTTTCTTCCTAATGTAGCATTTTTAGTCATTATGCATCAGTCATTATTCAAGTAAATATTAGCCATAACTGGACATTATTAAGTGCTATTTAAAAAACAAAACAATTTAAATGCTATTTATAGAAATGACTTAAGTTTTAATGCTATTTAATACAAATATTTCTTGTTAAAATCAAATGAAACGAAAAATATGGAAACATTGAGTTGAGGAGTATGTACGTGGAGTGCTTTTATCTTCAACATCTTGAAATGTTCAACCATTAAATCCGTGGGACCCCTACCTAGAATCTGGGTGGAGCATGTGATGCACAGGACGAAAATCGTAACAGATTTTTTTTCAAAATTTGACTCTAAAGTTAAAATCAACTTGTGTGGTGCAATTAATGGGAGTATGGGGTGTGTTCGGGTCGAGACGGTGTAGGAATCGTCAATTTTACAAATAGGGTACCGGAGCGCTCCCGGATCATCGCATGATATTAGATTATGACATTGGAATTCAATGTCAATGAGAACGTTGTTGATGAAATAAGGCCAACCTTCTAAGTTTTTTTTGTTGTGTTTTGGGTCATGGTCACTCTTGTGATAGGAAAACTTGATGGCATGAAGAGTTAGAATTTTTTCAAAATAATTCTACTTATAATGAAGTTGTGCAAAATGATATAATGTTCTTTCAAATTGCATACAATAATCCCTCATTTTTTAGTTTTTGTTTTAAGTTTTATCTTAGCTTAGTCCTTCATTGTTGAAATGAATTTTTTTCTAATCAAAACAAATTTGTCTTGGATTGAAGAAAATTTTTAAGAAATTTATATTAAGGTACCTACAACTTTACCAAAGTTATTTTTCTGGATGATCACAAAAAAGATGAGTCGTTTTTTATTTTAGTTAAAATCAATAAAATACAAATTATAGTATTTGTAGAGGATATGATATGTGTAAATACTAAATTTTGATTAAAAAAGTAATGAACTGTAGTTCATACTTTTGTAGAAGATAGAAATATTATGAGTCACTTTTTATGTTTTTATTGATTATTGAAAATAGAAATAACAAACTTTTTTTTCAAAATATGACAAAAGAAAAGTGTAAACTTTAGTGTTGTACAAAGGGATTGTATGGGTCAATTTACCGGTATTAAATAATGATTAAGTCATGTGTACACCAATATTTATACCCCAATTTATTTTCCGCATGTTTGCACCAACATTTTTTGTTGGTGTAAAATTAATTTTTGTTAACACACCAATATTTGTGTCCGTGTAAATTTTTGTTAACACACCAACACTTGTGCCGGTGTAAACCATCAAAATGTTTGTGCAAAACTGTGATGTACTAGTGGAGTACATTTCATTTTCTGATGTAAGTGTAGCATGTCCATTAAATAATGGGCTGCATCAAAGAAAGTAGAAAAACTGCAATGGTCCACAAATACCAAAAATCATATTTTGATGTAAATAACCGAAATCAAATCAAATTACTTGTACAAAACAACCCTACAACGTTGCAAGTACAATGTTTCCACACAAAAAAGGCCCATTTTCATCACATTTTATATTATTCATTACCAAAACACAAATGAAAACAGATAAAACAATTGTTTTGCAAATAATGATAATAATAAAGTTATAATTTAAAAAAACCAAATGTGCACACTATTTTTCCGTCCCAATTTTATATAGAGTATTAAGAGAGAGAGAGAGAAATTAAAATAGAAAATATTTTTTGGAACATGCATGGAGAGTATTATTTAAGAAAATTTTTGCAATATAGTCTTTTTTCGTTAAATTACAAATTCTTAACTTTAATTTTCAAACTTTACATTAGAGGCATCACGTTTTAGTTTTTCAGATTTTAGTTAAAATTTGGACTTCGTTTGGATTTCAATAGCTAAGATGCGGTGGAATCGTTCACAACAATGGTGGAGAATGGTTGGGTGGATTCGATCTCTAAGAGAACTAAGCTTACCAATATTGAGGGTATAGAGACTAAAGACATCGAGAAAGATATCCAGGTGAAAGGGGTGAGAGATCTTGAAGTGCGAACTGAGGTTAGAGTAGTCAAATGGTTTACCAGGTCATTCACTTTGAGAAGACCCATCAGTGAAACTATTACAGCTATTAAGAGTTTGAAAGAGATGTTCTAAGTATAAGCTTCAAAGCAATATTTCAAGAACAAAACAAAGTGGTTGATTGTTTTGCTAATGTTGGTGCTTTTAAGGACATTGAGTGACATTTTTTTGAGGTTCCTAGTACGGATTTGGACGCTTTATTAGTCGTTGGCATCATGATCGCGTTATCAATATGCGAAACACTTCCTCTAGCTTATGAAGTTACTAGCTCCGGGTCTTCCCCCACTCTCTCGATTTAAACAAAAAGAGTTTTTGCACCATACACTCCAAACTTTCCGAAAATTGTACGGATTTCTTTAAACCTAAAAATTGTACCAATTGTCCTTAAGTTTTTAAAATATTGTATCAATGGTCCTTCTGTATCACATTTTAAAATACATTAATGAAATGCCCGTCCAATGCAAGTGTGAATTCATCTAAACTCATATATCATGCGTAAGTTCGGTAATATGTTTTCCAAACATTTTTTTCTACTCCATCTGCCCAAAAGAGACTCCTTATTTTCATTTCAAGACGTCCCAAATAAAGTCTCCTCTTTCTTTTTATAGAAAAGTGAGTATGTTTTAAATCTCATGAAAGACGAAATAATTATTTTCGTTTTAGCCATCGATAACCGAATTTGTAGTCCGGGCATCAATCAATCAAGCTCTTAATTAATCGATCAATATTTTCATCAATCTGTGACATCCTCATCAAGCACTAACTTGTAAATTGATGAATGTGTGATTAACACGCTTCCAAATCTAGTACAAAAGAATCATTCATGCAACACTTTTAAAAGTTGAAATACCAATAGTTTAATTTTTTAAAGTTAGATTTCAATAACTCGGAGATCGACTCCATTATTTACCGAGTTTAAACATTAAACATTCGTTAATTACAGTAGATTTCAACAACTAACCGACAATCACATCATTTAGATTTCCAATTAAATGGGAGCTAGACGTACGTACTCCATTTACCCGCGGTTCATAACTAGCTTTTCAAATCCAGTTGATTTGGTTTGATTTTACGATATTTGAAAAGATTATATATTTGATTTTAAGAGCATACATACATACATACATACATACTCGTGAAACATTTCCCCTTTCTTTTTTTATCCGTCCCACAAAACACTTCTCATTTCTATTAAAAAGTCACTTTTACCCCTTACTTTTTCATACCCTAACTATCACATCATACCTTTTTACTAATAATCTATCCATCAAATCATACTTTTACCCATCACATCAAAGGACATTTTTGGAAATTCAATACCAAAATACACTCCCTTAAATCCCTCCTAAAAAGCAAATGTCTCATGTTTCATGGGACGGAAGGAGTATATATATATATATATATATATATATATATATATATATATAGATTTTGGATCAAGTGAGAATGCAATCTTATGAAAGAAGTAAGAATGAATCTGGTGCTCTAGATTGTGAGATCTAAGGGTCGGGATTGCATCAAAATTAGGTGCACTAAAATGATTTGAAAATGCATCATGTCGAAATGCACCAAAATCCTTTAAAAATGCACTATCTCAAAATCTGAGTGCAGGATGCAATCTGAGCCGCACGATGCATCAGATCCAAAGGCTAGATTTTATTCTTATTTCTTTCACCAAGGTGCATTCTCACCTGAACCGCCCCCCCCCCTATATATATATATATATATATATATATATATATATATATATATATTTATATATATTTCTAATACTCCGTAATTCCGTATATCTAATGTAAAACACAAATCATGAATCTGGACATTATATTGCAGCCTACATTATATATATAATAATAAATGCCAAATATATTTAACTTAATGCATTAATTATTTATTTTATAGTATCGCGACCCAAAACAATATTAGGGAATAAATAATTTTGAACGATTTCCTACTTTATTTGAATATTTAATGTTGCATGTTTATACCAAAATCAATACATAATACGACTGATTCGGGCATGTTTGGGAATAGCGTCAGAGATTAGCGTTAGCGTTTTGGATAAAATTTTAACAGTGCAGATTACTTTGAAAATGTTAACGTTAAACGCTGCCTGTAGATAGTCTTTTCAAAACGCTAACGCTAATCGCTAAACATATTCCCAAACAGGCTCGAAGACATTTTATGTCAGTCTTTTAGATTATAATTAATGATTTCCAAATATATAGACTTTCTGATCCTAAATGGCTTCAACGTCACTTTTCTAAATGGGAGTACATATTTCCAGTTTTATAGTGTGCGAAGGCTAGTCACAATTTCAACTTTGTTGTTAGCTTCAATAAATTGAGAAAATATATTTAATTATTTTAAAATATCTTTAATTTGTGGTTAACTGTTATTTGTGTAAAGTAAAATTATTTAATCGTATATGTGTGACAATTGGAAGTTTTGTATTTTCTCGATCAGTTGAGATTTCTCAGCCAATCATATTGATTTTCTTTTACTTCTGGTACAGTTATGTTTTTATAATTCATAATATTCTTTTGTTATATATATTTATATTAAAAAGTATAGATTTATACGGAGAGTGTTTTACCATAAAGTCCTTCATGTGTTGCTTTAAAATTACATATCAAACATAAGTTTTTAGTCTAGTCCAGTGACGGACCTAGAAATTAAAACATGAGTAAAATTGACAATTCATGTTTCGTTATCCTCAATAAACCCCTCACCCGACCCCCATTTCCCCCACCTCAACCTCTTATGAAGATTAGGAGAATATGAGTTATCAATTTTAAGGTCAGAATATCATAAATGTCACAATTGGAATTGTCCTATTATGACAAAAAAAACTGTTGTCCAAAGAAGGGTGTAGCTAAGATACCAAATCAACCACACCAAACAAATTAAAAAACACAAACATTAAGGTATAATCGAAATAAAAACCTAACAAGTCTCAACTTCTCCTTTGCTGATGAAAGAACATGTTTATTCCATTGCTTAAAGAGCTAAGTAACCAACGATGTTTTTTTATAGATTTTGTTTAAATAAATTATGTGACATTATAATAGTATGGTACTTATAATAGCAATCATAAATACTACAATAGTTAGTCCATTGTAATAGAGGTGGTAGTAGTAAAAAATCATAATTAATCCACTTTTTATAAAGTGGACTCTTTACCAATATATCTATAAACACCTTAATAAAAACTAAGTAAGTTCTCGTAGATTTGGTTCACATTCCCTAGCCAAGTTTCCACTGAAGCTTTTTGTTGAGAAAAATGAATCAGAAGATACATTTGAAGATTAAAAAAAATGGGTGGAATTTACTCATGGTTGTAACAACAACAACCCAGTTAAATCCCACAAGAGTAGGGTCTGGGGAGGGTGTGTGTACGCAGACCTTGCCCCTACTCGAAAGTAGAGAGGCTGTTTCCAAAGAGACCCCAGCTCAACGTCGAAAGTTGCATTGCTTGACTAACTGCTACTTCATTAATTAAAGAAGCGCAGACAGTTTAGAGATCCATTTTGATTTATTCCATCACACCCCAAAGCCAAAAAATGGTAAAATTTTGGCTCCATCGGAGATGATGGAAATAATTTACTAATGGCTGTGAATTTATCAAATCTAAGCCGGCCAATAATGTGGATATAGTCAATTAGGATGTAATCACGAAAATATCTCTGCATTTTATAGTTTAGTTACTACTCCCATATATGGAATCATTCACGTCTTGGTCAATCCGTTGACCGTTATGCCCCAAAGAAAACCAGCAGCCAACAGGTGGAATTCTTCGGCTTGAATTTAAATATTCCCATTAGAGAGTTACATTTTGGAGTAATCATAATATGGATGGACACATTTATAAAATGTTACGGAGTATTAGATATAAATACACATCACAAAATTCTGCTCCAATCCTCTCCAAGAAAAATAGAAGTAAAAAAAACATCTCAGGTTGCAAATTGAAGCATTGCGTATGGGGTTGACACTGTTAGCTGGTTTCTTCCTCCTCCTCCTCCTCCTCCACCTCCACCTCCACCTCCTTCGGAGCTAAGAGGGTCATTTTTTGTGGAATGATCCGGAACGTTTGCTCCTCCGGTAGGAGGATTGTCGAGGCTGCTTCTGATCCACGCCACGTTGTTCAAATCTTTGGTTATTTCAGCCAGCTCGTGGCTAGAAACAGGAGGTAGCTCCTCAAACTCGACAAACTCGGGACCCAACAGTGAACCCGGAGTAGGACCGTTCCCGGGGGGGCCACAACAGCCGAGGCCACAGTGCGAAGGGATCACAACCTCACAACACGTGTTTACCAGAACGTGCGGGTCAGGGATGGACGGGTGGACGTGCGGGGCCCGCGGGGCAGGAGACAGGTTGTAAACATTGAAAGCGCCGATTTTTGGAATGGGACGGAACACAGGGGGGAGATTAGTCTCCTCTGGGCTGCAATCGCCAGGCGCACCTTCTGGGGATTTGTTGAATGCGTTCATATTATTATACCCGCATGATTTGGTTTCTTCAGAGGATGCCCCAATCCTGTCTGTACTGCTCGGGTCGTCAAGCACGTTGCCACATTGCAATGTGGATCTATTTGTTGCTGCAAACCGGCGCCTCAGGGTAGAGTTCCAGTGGTTCTTGATGGCATTGTCTGTTCTGCCAGGGAGCATTTTTGCAATGGCTGCCCATTTGTTTCCATGAATCGCATGGGCTGAAATTATAATCTGGTCTTCTTCATCTGCAGATAGACATGTTATAGCGTAATCAATTAGAGAATTTAATTTCATTGTATCGACTAAGATTTATATATCATTCCCTGCATGTGTGAACTAACATAGGGTAAAAGGAAGTAATGTGTAGTGTCCGCATAATTAGCCAAGTGAAATAAGTGACTGCTCAGAAACAATTTGAGGAGTCATAATAGAACCATACAAGTCACTCACAAGATACAGAGAGACTACATATGTCTTTGTGTACGTTGAGTAATTGCGCGAACAATTATCATATAGCATAGATGCTCTTTTCCCTAATATATTTGATGATGCACAGAGGATTTCAAAGTGATGTATTGCATTGCATAAAACATACTTTTGGGCATCATTTATACAAACACAAGTGTAGTTTGTGTACAGGTGCTACTGTAAAATAACTCGCCAATCCACGTCTAAGATCTTATAGAGAACATTAATGATGCAACTGTCATGATCATTATGGAACAAATCAAGAGTTACAAATTCAAGCTAATACTCTCTCTCAGACACCCCCACACACACATACAAAGCCAACAATGAACAATCTGCTTTCTGGTTCATTGAACACACTGAGATTCTAAGAACTTTCACAGCCTAGAAAAAATATTATGCTAGTAAGAGCTTTCTGAGGCATTTATTCTCAGAAGTAAGCGCTCACGCAAACCACAAACTCGCAAAGAAATGATTTGTAAATTAAGTGAGTCTTGGATCAAGGACTGGAATATTTTTCTTCTTAAATCCTTAAACATGTAAACTAAAACTTAAACTAAGGAATGAAAATCCCACTATAATCAATATAATCAACAAAGACACTTGATGTGTGTGGTTCAAAAGCCTCAATAAATGTGCCCATAAATAGTGGTGGTGGCCTCAACAAAGTTGCATCCGATGACAATTTCTGATGCACGTCAATTCATCAGAATATAGAAAAATCAGCTTTTGGTTGGCCTCGTACTGAACATCTTTTACTGCCATTTAGCCTAACTACAGGTGTTATGGTACAAGCAAGAGCTTTCAGACTTCAAGTTCAACACCACACCGTGATAGTTATGAGAGCACCACAGTCACCCAAGGCAAACTGACTTGGGTGACTTAGAGCATCTCCAACGTGTCGGCTAAAAACAAAAAAATAGCAAATATAACTTGTACTGTTCATTGTTTTTGACCTCCAACCCAACAGCTTAATTAAAGCCTATCTTCTATTATAGACGCTGCATAGTGTAAATATACAAGGTGCTACAGTAACTCCTATTTATTATCTCTGCATTTGAGACAAAAAATAGCAAACACTCAATATAGCATTTTATGGTTGGAGCATTTCTACTATTCATAATCTATTTTGAATGATAGCATCCCAATTTTTTAGCCTCTCCATTGGAGATGCTCTTGGAGTTATAAAATAACTTTTTACCTAGAAGATAATTTACACTTATTAGCCAAAGAATCCTACCAGACATTACAACCTTCAACATCTCTCTCTAGTTTGATCGCATCTCATTTCTGTGTTGTTAGTACCACAAAAAAACTGAGAAATTAAACAACAAGAGCAAAAAAGTCATTAAGATTATTTTTCAAGCCACCAGTTGAGACATTGCCATGAGACCTTGAGATAATGCGTTCGTATCGTAGAAGTAGCCTCTTACAAATATGTTGGGTTATGTTTTCCTACATCACACATTCACACCCTTGTGGTGGGACACATCTCCAACAATCGCTAAGCAAAGTTGCTTTGTGCACTGGCCACTGTGGTGCCTTTCTATAGATCAATTGTACTTTCAAGCATGCTCCTGGGATGAATCAATCCCAATAACAATAGATTGCAAGTGGGGTACTTGACCAACAAACCAACACCTTATAGTCACTTGATAAATTGTAAGGGTGCGAAGCCACCCCATCTTTCACACTGATGAAGTGTTCTAAACAAGACATCATGATAGAGTTTAGATACTAACTTTAAGGAATAGGTTCAGAACATGAACAAGTGTGAAAAAGAAGCAAAAGGTTCATACTTTGCAGCTGCCCAGTGAAATTTCTGCTTCAATTCACACATTGGCTGAAACTAAATTGGGTAAGAATAACAAAAAACTCATCGCCATTGCAGTAAAATGACTCGAATTGCTGCTTTTCGATGCACATTCATTGAAAGCAGATAGTCTATTGGTTTCTCTAGTGAAAAAAGCTACAGTGAGTGTTCAGACTTCTCAAATTGACTTCGTATGAGCAAAAGAAACCGTATAGTCCACCCCAATAAATAAAAGACCAAGTAAGACATTGTCAAATGTCAACACCTTCTTCTGATTCTTATGCTCTAATCTAATCAAACAAAGCAAAAATATACTGATATAGAGCGATTACATCAGACGAATAAACAATGGATGCAAAACAAACAGAAATTATTGGGGCACAAGCGATAACAGGAAGCATAAAATCCGCAGAAAAACCATTGACCCAAGTCAACATCAGAGAAAAGAAAAGAACTGAGATTGAATCGAGAATGGCGCTAGTTTTACCGGAAAAAGGTTTTCGTTTGACAGCAGGGTCGAGCTGATTGCACCACCGGAGACGGCACGACTTCCCGGAACGGCCAGGGATTCCACGGGCGATCAAGGTCCAATTCCTCGCCCCGAACTTACTCACTAGTTCGCACAACACCGCGTCTTCCTCCGGCGACCAGGGTCCCTTCACTTTCCCGCCGCCGCTGTTCTCCTCTCCCCCGCCGACCATCACCATCGCACAGCTACCATCAGCCGCGATGGCTTCGCCGCCGTCGCCATTAGCCACTGAGTCGGTGGCGACGGCGGCCAGTTTCGAATCGATGCCCTCCACTTCCGTTTCTCCTTCCATCATCGCTCTTTCTCTCTCTAGCTTTTCGGTTTGTTATGCTTCTCTCTCTAAAAGCACAGTATCTATATATAGTCCCCAGGCCCAACCTTCCTAACCGCAAAGCAGTTTTGCTGTAACAGAGAAATTGATTTTTATTTAGCTACGGCGGTTGTTTTTATGTGACGATTGTGACCCTCTCGCTTTAGCTATCAAATCCAGCGTTGGGGTACCAACAGAAAGGGCGCCGTAGTAATTTCAGACGGATTCTTCTTATAATGCGGCCATTAACCACCTCCTTTCCGTGACTTGATTTTTGAAACTGTTTGTTTCCTTTTGATCTTTTAAAAAAAATAAAGGTTAATAATCGTCCAATCTTATTCACTTTGTGTATTTATTTTTGTTATTTTTTACTTATATCATTTAAATTTTTTTCCCTGGTATGACTTGATATGAAGATTAACAAAAATCAAATAGTGTAGAAATTTTTTATGTATTGCCCTTGATATGATAGAATAAAGTGAATATTATAAATAAAAGTGGGAATCCTTTTTTTGAAAGAAAAAATTATCCATTAAATCAACTCGGAAGAGAAACAATAAAGTCGGGAGGAACAGACTCCCAAACACTAGTAGTAAATTCAACTTGCCTAACTAATGCACGAGCGACAACATTAAAAGAGCGACTAATATGAGACATAGACACCGCACATAAAGAGTTTAAGATACTTCTGCAATCTTCAATGATCGACCTAAAGTAAGAGTATGATCGTCCTCTCCTACGAATAGCATCTACCACTTGGCACAATCAAAATAAAGGACCAAGTCAGAGAGACCCTTCCCTTAAGCCAATATAAAGCTTCCCCGAACAGATAATGCTTCTGCCAACAAAGGATCATGAGCACCCGAGAGGCCACCATTAAAAGCCACTTTGAAAATACCATCTTCTAATAGGACAGACTCAAAACCGGTTAGCCGAATATGAGAAAATAAGGAAGCATCAACAAAACAATTCTTACCAGACGATGGTGGAGTAATTAGATGCCTCCGCTCCATTTGAGGGAACTTGTGTTGCCAGAACGACGCTAAAGTATGAATCCAGTGTACCGTTGTTGAAGGAGTAGAGACTCAATGCTCCCATACTATTTGATCCTGGACCTTCCAAATCGCCCAAATTGTCCATCCCACCAACCCAAGCTCTATAGACAAAGAAGTCGCGAGAAGGTTACTAAACCAAATCTGGAAATTTGTAACATCTGTTGCAATTTTCTTTCTAAGCTTGTCTCAAATTGAGGTAGCAAAATAGCATTTAAGGAAGACATGAGACATCGACTGACCATTCTCCTCACCAATAGCACAAGTATTAACTGAATCAACCCCCTTAGCCAATAGTGATTCGGCACAAGAGACAACCCAAAAAGTAAAATGAGAAAGAAATTAATGGACGGAGAGTATAATATAAAATAGGCATGACACGTCTTGTCTTGAATAATTCTTTATGTAATTTTCCATGAAGCTTAAAATCTCCATTCATTATTTTAAAATATTTATTTTCCATGAAACTTTAACTCTTATCTTGAATGATGTCAAACTCAACACAAATTCTTGTAGAGCAACAAAATGAAGATATGTATGTACCACTTATAAAAATAAGAGTTATGAATATAGCTAGGTTGGATGAGCATTCTAACCTTTTTTCATTTCACAATACATTTTACATGTACTTCCTTTTTTATAGAATTTTTTTAGGGAAACTCACCACAAAAATCCTTTACTTTGTTTTTTAAATTTTCTCTAAATTGTACGAATATCTAATTGAAAGATTAATGTAATCCATCAAACACGGCCTTTCAAAAAGTTTAAATAAGTTACAACTCTTCTCACCTCATAAGTATGTCATCTGATTTCAACTTGCAATTCAATTCTCACCCACTGTTCCAAAATAGGTTTGCCTACCTCTATGTTTCACTTTCCCAAAATGTTTTCTTATTTAAAAACAATATTTGAAGTTTTGAACCATTATTCCCTATATAGCTAAACAGGGGTAAAACCATTATACTCCCAAGTTATAATTTTCCCCATTGTTGACAAATCCATTTTTCCCCTACGGCTCCGGAGTATTTTATTGTTTTTTTTAAAAGAGAGATATAGACGTTGGCATGTTACCTCAGGATTTGAAATTTTGGCAGGTCACAAAAAGCCATCCAGAAGCACACTCTCCCAATATCCGAGCTACCCACTCTTCATCAGCGATTCTTTTCTTATGAATTCCACTGAAAGTTTTGATCTTTTTGAGCTAAGATCCTTGAAGGGCTAAAACCCAGAATTTCAGCTAGCTCCATATCTCTGTTCTTTGGTGTTTATTTGTTTCTTTATTTAATATTTTGAGACTAAAAGTTGTAGTAGTTTTGAGAAGTGGAGAGTTGAGCTTGGAAGAAGATGAGCAAGAGAAGAGAGGATTCTGATATGTCCGAGTCACTGATCGATTCAAGTTCCAGGGGATCTAGTTACTCTGAGTCCTCGTCGGATGAGAGCAGACGGAAGGAGAACTGTTCTTCGCCGTCTCCTTTTGGTTGGCCCATCCGGAATGCCCAGTCCGCCAGGTGCTCGAGGAAAGGCGGAGCAGAGAAACAGATGCAGGCCTTGATGGATCAAAACGAACATGGTGATGATTCTGAGCTGAAGAAGCTTCACTCGAAAACTACAGGTTGTCCCCTTTTTTCTTTCTTGTATAAAAGAAGCCGTAAATAATGTACTGTTTTTTATTTGTAATTCTCCATAATTTTGCATTTGGATATACTAGCCTGCTTGTTGACCTTTTGTATATTTAAAATGTTTTCTTGCTTTCACTTGAGCAGAAATGGAGATGATGAAAGAGAGATTTTCAAAACTGTTGCTTGGTGAAGATATGTCTGGTTGTGGAAAAGGAGTTCCAACAGCATTAGCCATTTCAAATGCTATTACTAATCTTTGTGGTAAGTTGTCATTGAATGGCTTGGTATTTTCACTGAACTACGGAGTAGTTTTCTTTTAACATTGATGAAGGTAAAATGGAGTGTCAGTTGCATAATCAGTGATGACAAGTCTACTTTTGTGTTAGTAACATATAAAGATGTTTGTTTGCAGCCACTGTATTTGGACAGTTTTGGAGGCTGGAACCCTTTCTTCCAGAAAAGATATCGATGTGGCGAAGAGAGATTGAATGGCTTGTTTCTGTTAGCGACCATATTGTTGAATTAATACCTTCTTGGCAAACGCTTCCTGATGGAAGTAAGGTTGAGGTAGCTATCTATCTTATTGAGTCCTAATTAAATTGGGTCAAAACTTAGTGAACGAATAAAAGTACCCTTCTTATTCAGAACCAAATGTGTAAGGTGTATAGCCGAATGACCAATTTAGTTGAAGGACAAAATTCGGTCTGAATTTTTCATAGTTGAGGACAGAATAGTCCAAACAAAAGTTGAGTAATAGTGTATAGTTGAAGGATTAAGTCACGCATTAACTCTATTACATATATGTAGTTTTGAAGCAGAAATTGTTGGTAATCTGATATTAATCGCAGTGCTATTTTTGTTGTAATCTGATACCAAAGTTCACATTGTAGCAAAGAGATACCGGATAGGATTAACACATGATGAATTGTTTGTTGGTAGTCAAATAAATGAGATTTTTTCTTAATACCCATATTGTTGTCAGGTGATGAGTAGCAGGCCAAGGTTAGATATATTTATAAACCTTCCAGCTCTCAAGAAACTTGACACCATGCTCATTGTAAGGCATCAACCCTTCTTGGCTCCCCTTGCATTACATTACTCATAGGGAACATCTGTCTGATGTTAAAAATCCAATCGACTGGTGCAGGAAATCGTGGAGAGTTTTACAAGCACTGAATTTTGGTATGTGGACAAAGGCTTAGGTGGTGGGGATAAGGGTGGATCAGTCAATTTCTTTGTGAAGGAGGCGGTCTCGCGACAAGAAGATAAGTGGTGGCTGCCAGTGCCAAGGGTTCCTGCAGGTGGTCTCCCCGTTTCCACGAGGAGGCAGCTAGATCACAAACGCGAATGCACCAGCCAAATCCTTAAAGCTGCAATGGCCATTAACAGCTCAACTTTAGCCGAAATGGAAGTTCCCGAGTCCTACTTGGATTCCCTTCCAAAGGTTTCTTTCTTGGCATCACAACCAAGCTAAGATTTTTCTTGTGATTGATTGTATCTGCTAGGAAACGTAACCCATGTTCCTTTTAACATTTTTGTTCTTCATCCATATGGTTCATTTCCTAAACTTCATCATGGTGATGTTTTTGAATGAATGTGTTTGTTTAGAATGGGAGAGCCTGCTTAGGTGATGTGGTTTACCGGTACATCACATCAGATAACTTCTTACCGGAGTGTCTCCTGGATTGCATTGACCTGACTTCTGAACATATGGCTCTAGAGATGGCAAACCGCGTGGAGGCTGCCATCCATGTTTGGCGCAGAAGTCACAACCACAACCACAACCACAACCACCACCACCACAACCACACTAGACCTCCCACTCATCCAAATCGTTCAACACCCAAATCTTCTTGGGGTATTGTCAAAGATCTAGTGGTTGATGGAGACTGCAGGAGAGATTTACTTGCTGAGAGAGCTGAAAATCTCCTCCTTTGTTTGAAGCAAAGATTTCCCAATCTCACCCAAACCACCTTGGATGCCACCAAGATTCACTGCAACAAGGTCCTCTCTCCTTTCTTTCTTTCTTTCTTTTCTTTCTAAAACTAACTCCCATGTTTGATCAGGATGTGGGGAAGTCAATCCTGGAGAGCTATTCAAGAGTCTTGGAGAGTGTGGCTTTCAACATATTGGCGCGCATTGACGATCTCATCCACGTGGACGACATAGCCAAGCACCCCGCAGGAAAGCCTCCGCCTACTCCACTTGCCGCGCCACACAGAAAACTCATCATTTCCTCTTCAGCAACCCCTCTCAAATCCCCGGGCCCGCCTTTGATCAGCCCGGCCAGGGGGGCGGAGGTGACGCCATTCCTCGGCGGCGGCGGTGGCAACAACAAGCTTCCCAGGCGTGGCCTTGGAGTGAAGAGGGCATTGTCAAACTACCTTGGCGGAGAAGCTACTAACAACAAGATGAAGGCCGGCAGCTGTGGAAACCCTCTGGAAGCTTTTGCTGCCTCTTCCATTTCCAGGAAAAGCTCTGAGTCTCGAGCTTCAATGGCTGCCATGGTTGCCCAGGACGAAAGCTCTGTCTTGCGTCCAATTAACCGCTGAGAGCATTATAGTTTTAGTGGTGTTTATTATATTAGCATTATTATTATTATTTTATAGTGGTGGAGTGTTTATTAGGGAGTATCTAAATCAATGCCTATATATATATATATATATATATATATATATATATATATAGAGAGAGAGAGAGAGAGAGAGAGAGAGAGAGAGAGAGAGGACATTTAAATATATACAGAGTATAAGGTATGATTTTTTTTTCATGACTCATTTTTTTGAGTTCTTGTAAAAGCACTTGGACAATTTGGATAGTGTACTGTGTATTACTCCGTAATTGTATTGTGTTTATGAAAAAAGTAATTTTAGCTCATTTTTGAGACCACATTTGAAACCCACATATCTTGTTTCAATAAGGCCATTTTTTCATTTTTGTTTTGCTTTGTTTATTGTCCATAATTTAAACTTACATTTTCTGTTTTGGTGTGTTTTGTATTATGTACATTTTTTATTTGAACAACACACATCACAAAGGAGTAGTTGTAGTACTTGATACTTTATAAAGTTAGATACTCAATATCTTATGGACGATAAAAAGAATTCAAATATGAACCAAGATAATCAGATGAAATAGGATGACTACTATATACCTCAATCTCAACTAAGACACTTTAGGAGAGGGGTCTTAAGGTCGTTGAGATGAAATTTTAAAGATTTAGGATTAATTCAATACAAGTTGAAAAATCTAGTATTCTAGAAATTAGTAAGGCACTATGTAGGAATGCGTTGTTCGATGCAATCATAGTCCTATGGAATCTTATTAAAAGATTGAGGTAGATTCTTTGGACGCGTAGAGTAGGTAACTTAGGAATGTCAATTTTTTAGTGTTATTGATTCGATTACAACGTAATATATGTTCAAATTTTTCCTAACTTGATCCACAATGAGTTAATGGTATCACCTATGTTGATACTCAAACTTGGGTAAACTTTCAATAATCTTGGAATTGAACTTCCTATTTCTCAAAATATGTCTAATTTTTTTGAATGATGTCTATTTTAGTTATACGTTGTAGGAAAATGCACTGAAGGAGTGCAAATTATTTAGTTTCACGGTTCATTTGTAATTAATATGTGAAACTTATTTGAAATGAATCCTTTGTGACTCGATCATAAGTATAGATGAGTAAAATGGCTGGATCGGTCTTTTAAAAAAACAATATTATTAATGACAGAATCAGTTTAATCTTATTTTAAAAAAATGGTTCAGACTAGTACGGTCTTCATTAAAAATAGAGACTTTTTAGGACTAAATAGTTATTTTATATTATTTTTATTATGATTTTCAATAAAAGTATTTGTGCAACATAAATGGGTTTTGGAGATAGATATTAGATACAACCAACATAAAAGGTATTTTTATACATAAACTTGCAAATTTGTGTTTGTAATGACATACTTTTAAATTTATAAAAAAAGTATGAAGTGTAACGCCCCAAAACATACCCTAAAATTTATTAATGAAATATTAATTAATTAATCAAATTTGTTTTGATTAAAAATAAATTGTCGTTGGGCCTTGGGCCAAAATAAAATGTGTTTTGATATCCAATATCATGATCCGGATAAATCTCATATAGATTAGTCCAATATGTGGACTATTTGTATGAGCTAGATTGGGAACCTGAGTACAGACCCAAATCAGGAATAAATAAATAAATTAATTATGATGCAAACTTTGTAATGATTTATTGAAATAAATCATGAAAATAATTGATATGAATTAAATGAGAGAACCTTTTATGAGAAAGGTCAATTAAACCAATTTTGACTCTGTTAAAGTCAAACACCCAAAAATATGATGTCGGAAAAAGTATTACAAATAATTATGAAAAGTATATCGTTGGATAGAGTTCGACTGTCTGATCGCAACGGTGCAAACGGATTTCATTTTAGAGAAAGTTGGAACAAAAAGTGTACCCCAACTGGGACCAAAATTAGTCCCAATCAGGGACTACACACCAAACGGCGCCCCTGTTCAATTACGCCGATTCCAAAATCCGAATCACCGATCAAGGAAGCTGCAAACTCTGTCTTCTTCCTTATTCACTAGCTATATAAGGACCACTTCTTCCTACCCAATTCTTCACCATTCTTCTTCATTCTTTTTCCTAAATGTTCATGAAGGTGTGAGGAGTGTTGTGGTGCTGTCAATTTGGTGTGAAGTCGCTAGAATTGGAGAAATACTCGCCGGAAGTTTCGCCGGAAAATTTCCAAAACCTCCATTAAGCTTCGAGGTAAGCCCGTAGATATATCTAAAGATTAGAATGTTCATATAGGTTGTTTTTACGTTCATAAATGGTCATTGGTTGAGTTTTGTGTTTGACATATTTGAAGAACCAAGAATCTTAAACCTTGAATTTGATGTTAAAAATATGTTTTAATAATTCTAAAATGATCTATGAACCTTGGAGAACATTTCTATATAGTTTAATTGAAGTTTGGTAACTAAAATTGATATGTCTGAAAATGGACCGAAGGTAGAAGACGATGAACAGTGATCGAAAATCGATTATTTTCTTCCTAAAAATCGATTAAAACTCGTTCAGATAACGCATATCAAAATAAAAATAATAATAATCGATTATAGTAAAGTATAAAATCGATTATTTGTAGTTAATCGATTAAACCATATTATTTAATCGATTTTTCTCCATATAATCGATTAATATATGTTATATAATCGATTAATACGATGAAATAACGCATATCAAATTAATCGATTAAACCATATTATTTAATCGATTTTTCTCCATTTAATCGATTAATACATGTTATATAATCGATTAAGACGATGAACAACTTGTTCAGATAACGCATATCAAATTAATCGATTAAACCATATTATTTAATCGATTTTTCTCCATTTAATCGATTAATATATGTTATATAATCGATTTTTGTATATTAATCGATTAATATATATTTAAAAATCGATTTTTGTATTACTTTATGGAGTAAATCGATTTTTCCCTTCAGAAAATACTCCTGAAAATATTCTATGAAAATACCAATTAATTATGAACAATTTAAATATGATTTGTATAATAAATGATATTTTGGCATATAAAACATTATGTGATGCATGACGGTAAGTTGGGTGTTAACACCGAGACTAGACCGATGTTTGCTATTAAATATTATGTTGAATGATCATTATGATTAAATATTATGGATAAATATGAATGATAAACCTACTAATTAAAATGATTATTGGTGAATAAGTCATGATTAAAAATGAATCAATGGTGATTATGAAAACAGTGTATATTGTTAAGGATATCTAGAAGAACTCTAAGATATACCTACTTGACCAATTCATATTTCGGGGTTAAAACGTACGTACGGGATCCAGAACGGATATCACCCACCCGACAGTTCACTGTTCGGTTGGTACGTAATCCACATGACCCATAGGGTGGATTATCGATTCTTGTGTTCTGCATTAAACTATTTATAGTTTAAGGGCCTGGTTAGAAATATTGCCTTAGACTAGGAATAGCTAAGAGCTTGTTATAAAATGATTTGGCCTTAGATTAAAAATAATTTAAGAGCATGGTTGAGATATTCAATATCAATGACTTGGAATAAAATATTAAGAATACCATGAATGTTTGAATCATATATTGTGTGCATGATATCAAATGGTTAATTATGAATTGAGATTCAATTTATTTGAATGTTCGACGCTTTAGATATGCTTACTCAGCTTCACCGCTGAGCGTGTAGTATGTTTTATTTGCTACACGCAGGTAAACAGAATGAATGAAAGGCATGATCTTGGCAGCAGAAGGGGCGAGACAGTCGTGGTGGATTTATTGAGAAAATAAATGATTATGTTAGAACCATGTTTAAAAATCGCTTCCGCATTAAACACTCCGTATTTACTACAATTATGTTTGGAATTTTATTTATGATGAATAAAGTTATTTGAAATGTTTTAAATTTTACGATTACCAAGTTAAATACTTTAGTCCGAATGGGGCTGCAGACCTGGACGGATTAGGGTGTTACATGAAGTATTGACTTGCATAACATAAATGTATTACTATTAAAGATTTAAATAATATGCTAAAGAATAAACATATTTATGTAAACATTATATTTTAATGTTACATTATAAGACTAGTCATAATCCGATCTCGATCTAGTCATTTCACAAAAGACGACCGATCTGGGATCGGTCTAGTCCTTCATACAATTTAGAGAACCAAATGAGATTATCGGTCTGCCAGACCCATCTAGAAGACCATTTTTGTCCGAATCTTCCCAATCTATCTTGGACAATCTTTTCGCTCTCAATCTCTTTGCTTTTCTTTAATCATAACGGAGAGAAAATGCAATTCAACTCCGATTTGGGCAAAAGGACAAATGATATGTTAAGACTTCTACATTCGAGTCGATCCTATTCCTACCATCTGATGTCTATACGGGTGCCACGATATATCCAATTCTTGAAAGTGTTGGATATACTATTACTAGTATTCTAACCCGTGCCATGCACGGGGCCAAAAGAAATTTATGTCGATTCTGAGTTATTTCAATGAAATTTATTTTTTGGAATAAAGAAAATATATTTCTCACATGATTTTTAATACTACAAATGAAAAAAACCAAAGTAAAATAAATAATATTTGAGGAACACAATGTAAAGTTAACAATTTTTATTTTAATATCAAATTTTCTAAAAGACTTTAGTGTATGCAACATTTTTGGTATGTTTGCAAGAGTTTCCATTGTCATCTAGAACTAATATTTTTCATCATGGCTTTGTCTTCACTCGTGAAACAACAAAATATAGTTGACCATGTGTGAACACTGAACAACAACAACAACCCAGTTAAATCCCACAAGAGTGGGGTATGGGGAGGGTGTGTGTACGCAGACTTTGCCCCTACTCGAAAGTAGAGAGGCTGTTTCCCAAGAGACCCCCAGCTCAACGTCGAAAGTTGCATTGCTTGACTAACTGCTACTTCATTAATTAAAGAAGTGCAGACAGTTTAGAGATCCATTT